GATTAGCACACAGAGGACACGTTACGTCTGAAGGACGAGACATTCCTCTGAACAACCACGCTAACCTGATCATGAAGACGCTAAGTGGTGAGAAAGGACGTTTGAGTTCTAGTCATATCTGCGACCTTCAAGTGATGAAACAGATGCCGTCATCTTCTGGAATCCCGTCCCACAACTTCACTGACGGTTTCCTCATGGAGTGACCGTATTTCAAGTCACTCGAGCCTTGGCTAGAATCAGTCTGGGACACCTGTGGAGCAGCTCTGAGTCAATCAGACTCAGCCCATAATTCTTTTTTTTTTTCCGAATCAGACTTCTCTCCTCGTCCTCGTTTACATGCAGCTGAGAAAATCGAATTATTGACGTGAACGTGTCCTCCTCCCCAACACTAGGGGGCGATATGGGTCTGGTTTCCGACCCCATCCAACCGTCAACAACAACAGCAGGTCGGTGTCAGACGTCAGAAGTGTCTACAACTGCTGCTGGACATTTTGGAGAAACAAGAAGATGGAGCATCGTACAGCGTTGTTTTTGTCCGACATGATGGACGCGCTACTTTTTCTAAAGATGAGACCAACGCTACTCCTCTACTCTGGGGGTTTGTTACGGGGTTACAGGGGTGTGGCGCACATGCATTGTCCGATCATACTCCGACTATGCCGGTGACACGGTAGAGAAAATCTAATTCCAATCGCATTATCTGGGTGTCTTATTCTGAGTTCTCAAACTCTAATTATAGTCGGACTAAGGTGTTCACATGACCTTCAGTTGTCTGGTCTTAATCGGAAAAAGGCGATAATTTGGTTTTCTCCAGTGTCATGTAAATGTACTGATCGATCTACGGCTGAGAACATCTCTATAAATCTGATGCTGGCGTCTCATTTCAACACGATTCAGCACTCGCCTGAAACTCGTCAAGTTCGACACGGTTTGAGGGTGTCGCCTTTTATGCAGCTTCGTCATCCAAAAACATCTGAGGCCAGCTAATCGAGCCCACATCTGAGGATCATCTCAGACTGATCGATCCAGAGGGACCCTACGTCACAGGAGATGATGCGTCTGGGTTTTTCTGCCGTCCAAAGTTCTTTTCTTCTTTTTCAAAAGCATGAGCTCTGTTCAGCACAAAGAGAAGAACTCTCGACTTTCAGTTCAGGCTTGTATGGTCGGTTTAATAAGACATTTCTTCTCTTTCTCTGAGGAGTTATTGATTCAGACGAGAGACTCCTGAGTATTCATCCTTGAGAATGAGCGGAGGAAAAGTCTCTCCAGAGGACACAAAGGTTTAAAGGACTCTGGCGCTCCGGCGCTGACAGGAATGAAAGGAAACAGAGGTAACACTCCAGAGAGAGGATCGAGTTATTGACCGAATAATTCTGCAGGAATGATATCAGGAAACAAACACTGAGACCAGCTCACAGCTGAGCACTCCTGTCTCACTATCAAATCCTGACATTTTGTCTCAGTGCTATCTCTGCAGCCAATTAGACGAAGGTTTATTCAAAGGTTACCATGGAGATGAGGACAGAAGAAGAAACACCGGTTCACTCTTCAGTTCTTCTTTCTTAAATGTCTGAAGTAGGGGTCAGGCCCCTCTGAAGACCGTCCTGCCCCCCTTTCATGTCAGGCTTGGACCCCACTCTCAGACCTTCTCCTCCGCCTTTGTCATGTGTCGTCCCTCATCAGCATCCGCTGTGGCTTCCTGTTGATCTGCGCCCTGATGACTTGGAAATGCCACAAAGATAATGTCAGATAAAGGTTCATCCGCAGTGGAGTGGCATTAAACCTCCAAAACCGAAGCTCACGTTCCTGAACTCAGCTGTGCGCGGACAGGCCTTCGCCGTTTGGTCAGATTTTACTTTAAATAGGACTCTGAGTACGCCGTTATAAAACTCAACTTTAGAAACACATCGGTCACGGACTGGCCTCTGGATTCTCTGGATGAAGGAACAGATGTGAGTTGTGAGCTGGCGGAGAGTTCGTGAAGCTCTGCAGCGCGCGTTGGTCTGCAGCTGGCGGCTGAGTCTGCTCCGTGTCTCTCATCTCAGGGTGATGCCTCGTAACGTGAGTCCGTGCGTTTGTCGTGTTGCCGGAATGCTTGATTCTAGTTTTACAATGTCGGCACACTGCGTGCGTCATGTCCATCTCAGTCGGTAAAATCCGAAATGACGCCAAACTTTAGCTTTCAGCGAAGACGGGGCCGGCTGGATCTCCTGGATCTTTCCTCCCTATTTGTTTCGGTGCCTTCGGCGCAAGCATTCATTCCAGAATTGACTGCGTGATGACATCAGGATGTCCAGCGTAGTTCCAAAATGGAGGCGGACAGGCAGCAGATAGTTAATCTTTTAAAATCGATTTCGGGACATTTTAAATGGATTCTGAATTGTAGTAAATCTGAACCGAGATTCTTGTGTGAATCGATTTTTGATGCACCCCTTGAAATTAGATGAGTTCATTCGCCTCCGACATCGCAGGCTCTGACATGTGATGACGATGCTCAAACGATATATTGCGCCACCCTACTCCAAACTGCCGGCCCTTCAAACAGCTGATTCCTTTTTTCCTCGCCGTTGTCTGTTTGTTGCTGTTGGCGGTAAAACAAGTTGCCCCGCAGCGATCATGAAGGTACAGCGGATCCCTGACACACGGGAGTGAACCTGCTCAGTGCTGCATTCACTGACTGTTGGACATCTGAGGGTCACTTTCTGTTCTGGATACTGAGAGTTGCGCGTTGACTTGCATTCAAACGGTGTTTTGTTCCGTTTCCATCGCTCAGAGTGGAGTGCTTTAGAAGAGCCGTGATTGGTTGACTCCTTTTGTGTTCATGAATGTGCTGCACGGAGTTTGAACTGTGAGGCTGTTATGTGGTGATAAACTGAAAATGAAGATATCTCCGTTTTCCTCGTACCTGGAGCGATGACAAGTGAGCGACTCCCCGTCAACGCGACATTAAGAGAGCCAATAAAATTGTTTTGTGATGAATCGACTTTATGACCTTCCAGAAGTTTGATTGTCACACAGCTAGACTCGATCACTCTAAAATTGACTATGCTCCCCGGGTAAACATACCCAGAAATCATCTGCAGCTTCTGCTCCTGCATCACCTGTCTGGATAATAAGAAGTGAAATCGTGTTCCCAGCAGGAGCTGCAGGGGAAGATAGGAGGGGATGTGCCCGACCAGGAGATGATCCGATCTCAGGCAGAGAGTCTCAGAGGAGCTGTAACCTGGGCGGCAGAGTGAGTATGCAGAGCAGCTGCATCATCCGCATCGTTCATCATTCATAAAGAGAGGAGCATGAAGTGGAGCGAGAAAAACTTCTCCCCGAAGAAGATAATTAAAGGAGTCTGTCCCGTCCATTAACAAAGACAGAAAAAAACACAGTAATGAGGTTTTGGATTCATTCAGTTTGTTGACGCTTGAGTGTCTCCCATTTCAGTAAAATAATTAAAGTAGTTTATCAGTATTTCCACAGAGACCTGCTTCAGGTCCTGTTCTGGACAACTCCGGTCTTCTTCTCTTGGATCAGTCAGCCAGTCATTTGGCAGGCCAGGTGATGAACGAGAATATTCAAGTCTGGGTAGAAGAACAGGAGCCAGTTCTGTATAAGGGTGTCCAGAGGGGGCTCTCTGTGGTTAATATACTTTAAAGGTATCCAGAGGGGGCTTTTATGTTGTTTATATACGTAAAGGGGAACCCAGAGAGGCTTTTCAGTGGTTTACATACTTTAAGGGTATCCAGAGGGGGCTTTTCTGCAGTTAATATACTATAAAGAGTATCCAGAGGGGGCTTTTATGTGGTTTTCCTTCCTTGAGGGAATCCAGAGGGGGGGGTTCTGCAGTTAATATACTATAAAGAGTATCCAGATGGGGGCTTTTCTGTGGTTTTCATTCCTTGAGGGTATCCAGAGGGGGCTTCTCAGTGGTTTATGTTCTTTAAGGGAATACAGAGGGGGGATGTTCTGCAGTTTACATACTTTAAGGGGTATCCAGAGGGGGCTTTTATGTAGTTTACATACTTTAAGGGTATCCAGAGGGGGCTTTTCTGCAGTTAATATACTATAAAGAGTATCCAGAGGGGGCTTTTCTGTGGATTTCATTCCTTGAGGGTATCCAGAGGGGGCTTTTCTGCAGTTAATATACTATAAAGGGTATCCAGAGGGGGCTTCTCTGTGGTTTCTGTTCTTTAAGGGAATCCAGAGGGGGGATTTTCTGCAGTTTACATACTTTAAGAGTATCCAGAGGGGGCTTTTCTGTAGTTTATATACTGTGAGGGGGGGCTTTCTATGTTCATATCCTCTGAGGGTATCCAGAGGGGGCTGTTTCTGTTTCTTTTATACTCTGTTCTGGTCCTCAGTGGGAGTATTTATCTTTTCCGATCATTGATATGCTGGAAGAGTATTCAGGACACGTGTTGCATTAATACTCTGTTATGGTAATCAGAGGGCAGTATTTGTGTTCAGCACATACTGAAGTACCCTTCATTATGTCTGTTAGAAGAGCAGCTCTGATGCTAATGTTCTTGCATATATCACCCAGGAGTCACTAGTGTGATTTATTATGCTGTTCTATGAGAGGTGAGGACACCAGGGGAGATGATGACCCCCACCACCCCCACCACCCCGAGGTAACCCACTGGGACAGTGCTTTTATATTGAATAGAGGTTCTGTTTTGGTCCTGTCAAACATGGCGTCTGTTTTTATGAGTTTTTCTAAATGTGCATTTCAAATAAAAACACTGAACAGGATTGAAAAGACGCCCTGCAGCACTGGATACACATGTATATATACATTTATATTTAAATGCAGATTTCCAGCCTTTTAAACCTATAGAGTCCCAGTATCCAGTTTTTGGAATCGCGTGTCAAACAGTCAAACCAGGAGATGAACGACTGCAGCTCTCTTTCTGTCTCTGTGGTTATTTTCCTTCAAAGCTGGATCCAGATCAGATTTTCTCCATTTTTCCATTTAAACTGATTTAAATCTCCGCGATAGGAGTAATTCTTTCAGTGCAGGGATACTGTAATCTTGACTGAATTTGCATACTTTCCATTTGTTTATCCACCTCCGTATTCACGTCACAATTACGAGTAAGACTGTCAAAGCGGAAGATTTATGACCACCTCCACAAAGAGGTAGCAGCTTTTCAGGGCTGAACTTAACATGCAGACGGATGTTTATCCTGCTGATCGGCCGGGTGGAGGCTGAGCCGGCCATACAAATGAGGAGCCGGAGCTCTTTATGTTTGCACGGCGCTCCGCAGACCTCGTTTTAGGATTTGCTGCCTCTTTTAACTTTAAATCAGCGCTGTCTGAACTTGGATCAGAACTTGAAAAAAGAAAACAGACTTTTCATTCGAACAGGAAACAGGAATAAGAACGCATTTATTCATGTTTTCCATTCATAGAGATGTTTTATATTCATAGATGTCGCTCACGTTTGATGATGTTTTTTTACAAACTATTGTACCGCTGTAATGTACCGCTGATGACAAAGTGACAGACAACGACACACAAAAGTCCATTAGCGACAAAAGTGTGAGAATCACCATAGAAACGGATCGTTTCACCGACTCGTCGCTGCCTGAGGGGAAACCATGCAGAACATTGATCGACGGCGGCGGCGGCGGTGGCAGCGGCGCCTCTGCCTCCATCCCCCTGTGTTACAGCCGGGGCTGATGGGACTCATAGAGAGGTGAGAGATTGAATATTGTGATGATGTTGTTACTCTGCAGCGGCGGCACAGTCAGGAAAATGAAGGAATGTAATTGGACCGTTTTCACTCTGTAAACAAATTAGAGAAGACGCCACAGACGCAGGAGGAAGATGTCGGCACTTTTAGGGACGTGTCCTCGTCAAGTTTGACAGAAGAAAACCTGATGGAAGAAACCGTATATAATCAACACGCACAATCAGACCGGTCTGCTCCTCATGATCCGAACCGGTCCCTCCTTCCTGATCAGGACTATATGGGGGTTGGCACCATTTTGAGGGGTATCCGAAACCTGAGTCATCAATTTCAATGCCCCATATAGGCGACTCAAAATTTCCCATAAAGCATTGCAAAATTTAGTGACCATCCGATGGTCACTCAACGGTGGTGGGCATCCCATCATGCATTGCGTCTTGCCATGTAGTGTCGGAAACCTCCGGTGATTGAGTTTGTACCGCGCATGTACGAAATGTACGTCACTTCCTTTACCGGCCATCTTTGCGACAGCTCAGTAATTCTTCGGCAATCGCGGTTTGCGACAGTTTCGACACTTGTTCGACAGCTTCAGCACCAGCGAGCTCGCTTCAGTTTATAACAGCCACGGCCACGGAGGTCTTCCCCCGACTGAAGCAGAGCGCCGGAAAGTCAAGAGAACGGCGCCCAGTTTCACGATCAAAGATTCCGACTCCAGCTAAATTGTAACATTCCAACGTAGTTACAAAAAGTTTGACTGAATGTGAATATTTCAGTAAAAACGTTGAAATTCATCGGAAGTGGAAGTGGCGTACGTTTCGCACATGCGCAGTACAAATCGGGATTCCGGAACGGATCGGGTAGCGACACTTCTTCATGAAAAAGAGTTCAGATGTTTGTATCAGAATTAACTCATCAGCGACGTTACAACAGAGACGATTCGTACTTGAAGACCTGAAGACCTGAAGGTCAAACTCTGACGGGTTACGAACTTTAAGGTCGGGGCAGATACAGCTCTCTCTGGATGCTGATAAATCCCATTTTCGTGCGGGTTCATTGGGCCGATGTCTGACTAAAGTCTCGACTGCGTTCTGAAGTTTTCGTCTTTACAGCGACGACACGGCGGCCTCTGCCACGATGACTCAGCGCTGAGTAAATTTCACCCGACTGTAGAGAGAAAAGTTTGGTCTGTCATCTGAAACGATCCGAAGTCTAACATGGTTTCTTTCTTTCTGAGCTGGATAACGAGGAATCTGAGTGAAGAAGACGACCAGCTGGAAAAAAACTGAATTAATTGTCATTTGAGAAGTTTTATTAAAGATAAAAACCCAGACGAGCTGTGTGTGTGTGTGTGTGTGTGTGTGAGAGAGAGAAATCAGCTTTGTCCTGATCCGGATTCTTTAAGTTTCGCTTCAGAGGGATCAGCGAAAAATTGAATTACATCCTGATCGTCTCCATGAACCGATAGTTTGACTAATTAGTCTCATTTCTATTTCTGTCGCCGTCTCGTCGTCTTTCTCCTTTCAGTTCCTCCTCAAGGACAAGTAGGAGAATCTCTGTTCTTCTAAATCCAGATTAGTGTTTTTCTCTTTCACTCACAGATCTCTGACAGGCGGAGAAGTTCTGTTTATAACCAACGTCTGATGTTCCTGAAGGCCAGGGCACGCCGGAAACAAACTCCTCCTCATGTTGGCGTTTGAATCTAATCAGAGGTACCAGAGCAGAGATCTGAGAGTCCGTCATGTTTCTGTCGTACAGAGAAAAAAAAAGGAGGTGACCCGGTTGGCGATGGAGGAGTCAGGGGTTAACTGATGACACCCTTGACCGTGTGATCGATGTGAACCGAGTCGTGTCAAACAGCAGCAGGCGGTCAGACCCATGTGGTCTAAAGAGACCTCTGCTGACCCCCCAGGACAATAAAACTCGCACCATTAGGTCAGGTCCAGGTCCTCTCGCAGAGTCTCGACCCGTGCCGCCCCTCGGTTCAGTCCCCTTCAAAGCGCCACAATCAGTTCAGCTAATGATAACGACGTGGTGGCGGTGGCGGCGGCGGCGGTGGGGGGGCGTTCTGAGTGGGTTTGAAGCGACAGAATAAAGGAAATGTCAACATCAAGCGTGACGAGGTTAAGGTTTTAACCGCTCCACATGACTCCTTCAAAAGTCGGAGAAGTTCAAAGTCCTGGTCTCTACGAATCCAGACACGGGTTTTTTCTTCTGTACACAAGGGTCCTCTTAATAATTGATTATAGATTTCCAACAGTTTGATGTTTCATATATCAAACATTTGGTGGTAATGACGCTCGTCAGGAATGAAGAAGATCAAAATGAGACGCTGAAAGGAGGAGATCTCAGACGAGAGCGGGCAGGATGACGATCTATCGGAGAGGACGTTCATGAAGAATATTTGTCATGATTTCTGTTTTTATCTCAAAGTGATAATTTATATTTCCACTAAAATATCAGAGATAGATGTGACTTTTTGTAGAGTTTTTAAATTCTGTCGTTTTAAAACGTTTGTCCATTTTCTGATGAGCTCAGTCCGTCTTTGATCGTTCCTCACTCCTCAAATTAAACGCTGCGATGTGTGGACAAAGGGACGTCTCTTAAATGTCAGTCAAATAAAGGTGAGGCTGACTTCGCAGAGACTCTCGACCCTGAATATTGATCGGACTGTCCCGAAGTGTGAAGGGATGAACGGAGCAGAGAGACAACTGTTCATGAGGAGGAGAGTAGATTAAAGAAAGGGGGATCCTAGGAGATCTCCAGGGTTTAGACCAGACCCAACACATCCATGCCAAATAAACAACTTCCCTTCTGATTATTCTGGGGGTGTTGATGGTTATCAAAGAAGTCAAGCAAAGCATCATGGGAGAGTGGGTCGTTTACCGACTGACAAACTATATGAGCCGTATAGTTTTCAGTTTTTCCTTATTTAGACTCTTTGACAGCCTCCAGGCAGCTCTCCGACCTACCCGAGCAGCTCCAGGAGGAGGTCTGGTCATTATCTGGCGGTTGAGAGTTCGGGGGGGTAGCGCTCGGTGTCAGACTCCCAGCTGTTCTGGTATTCAGCCAACAGCTCCCTCCCACACAGCTCCTCTGGCTGTTTGTGTTGAATCCGGATCAGTGCCAGAGCTGCTGTACGCATGTGCACGGGTTTGTTGATGCTCCTGTGTGAGTGTGAGTGTGAGTGTGTGTGTGGGTGTGCGCTCTGTTGTCAGGAAGTGCGAGGAGCAGATCGCAGCTCTTTTCCTCGCTGTGATGTTCTGGTTAAACCTCGTTGGTCACGTTTAGAGATTCAGTGATGCTGAAATCCTCGCTGAAGTTCATCACCTGTGGACACATTCACTCCCAGCAGCTGCTCATAGATGCCGGTTTGTGTTTCTCTGACTCGATCAGGGGCACCTTGACTGGGAGTCACGAAGAGACAGGGAGTATCTAGAATTTTAATGATTTCACCACCTACAGCCGAACTTATTCACTCCTGATAAACTTTTGTTTGGGTTTACCTTGTTTAATAGAAAAGTTTGAGTGTCAACAAAGTTTATGGCCTCTGTCACGTTGGACAGGAAGTCTGTGGGGTGGGTGGGTGAATGGACTCTTTCACATCCTGTCACATTCACACACTGATGTCTGAAGCTGCTGTGTGAAGGGCCCGTCATTATTGATGCTTCAAACCAAAAATCTGGTTTTAAAGTCCTGGTTGACGATCTGAGAAGCAGATGAAAAAAAACTGATCGCCATAGAAACGAGGTTCATAATAATCACCGATCTCTCCAATCGTCAGCCACGCCGTTACGTCCCCTGGAGTTCCTCAGGGATCGACGACAAGCGACCATCATGTGACCGTTTTCATCAGGGTTTTTTTTTATGGTGTTGTTGGCGTGTCTCACACGGTTCCATCCTTTCACCAAGTCCAGTCTTCACACTCATGAATTCTGAATGAGGTCTGAGGGTTAGGCCGGATCCAGAAGGTCAACAGAAGGACTGATCCGCTTAATCCGTTCCAGGAGGCACAGGTAAGATGAAGTGAACTCTCAGATTACAGTCAGTGACGGATGAAATTAGGTTCTCCGCGGGAGTGACACCATTAATATCATTTACAGTTTCTCAGGAACTATACTGTTTATCTCTACGGGGTGAAAACTGTTCAAATGCTTATCCTTTTGGCGATCTATCGAAGGTTTCCATACATTTCTACACCTGCCACAAGATTTACAATCCAGCCACAGAAACAGGTGTTTGATCAGAGACGTTTGATGGTAAATCCGCAGTGATATTCTGGTGAAAACAGGATTATTGATCAGATTGTTGTGATAGAAAAAAGATCACTATTGCTAAATGTGCTACTGTCTTTTGGGTTTGACGTGCAGTTTTGATGACATCTTGTTCTGTCAAACTTTCGACCAATTACACGGTCTCATATTCTTCTTCTATTGTTCCCTTGACGGTTTTGTCCAGTAAGAGACAATAAAGTTCCCTGCTTGTCTGCAAAATCAGAAATAATGGTCCTCAATGTTTGGAAACAAGCAAAGAAGAGATTCTGAGCAGTATGATGTACTTAAAAGCTTCTTTGTGGGTCTGTTTGATGAGTATTTACTCTACAGGAGATATGACACTGAGGGGGATCATGGGTACACAGCAGGGATGAGGTTCAGACTCAGAGTTTGGAAACACTTGAAAGGGACTGAAGTAAAACTGCAGGTATGTTTGAGCTGCTCAGATAAGGCCAGGAGGGGTTTGGACAAGTAAAAGGACGGGGTCTCAAAGACCTGGGGCCCAGAAAGAACTCATGTTTTGTTTTGTCTCTTGGAGCTGGTGTTTATTCATGTCTCTGTCTGTTATCTCGGCAGACGGAGTCAGAGTCACCCTCAGGAGCAGAGGTTCGGTATATTTCCTGATAGATTTGGGACACACCGACAGCGGAGAGGAGGAGGAGGTGGATGTTTTTCTGTGGAAACTCAGCCACCCAGGTCGTTATCTGCGGCTGTGCGTCATCCTTCTGTCGCTGCCGTCTGAACATTTCTCTTCAGGAGTGCTTTCTCACTCCTTCATATCTACTTCCATCTCAGGTACCTCATCTGGGCCTAAAAAATGATTCCCCGCTCTCTCCTAAGCACTCGTTTTCCCCTTCAGCGCCTCTCTACGACCCGATCGATCATGGGAAATGCTGCCAGGGCGCCGTGTTTGTGTGTTTCCATTCCTGTCTAATGGGTCAAAGAACAAGAGCTCGGGGCCAGTCTGTGCAACACGCTGCTCAAACATCGAGGGCCAAACTTTGTTCCCATTGGCCAGATGTGAGGGTAAGGTAATGAGCATGCGGGGAGACGACATAAGTCATCCACAATGAAGAAAAGAGGCGGTACACGGTGCAGCGTGAATTCCTGTTTGTCCGACCTCGCAGAGAACGAAGCGATGACAGTAACTCTGTTTCAGCTGAACAACGCTTCGTTATCTTATCGGGTCGCACACGTGTTGCTGTGCGATTGTAGTGCAAAAACCCAAAGACCCGGCCTCCTCCTGTCCGTCTTGTCTGGATGTTGGTGTGATCCGTTCTAATCCATCCGAGGTGGTGGCGGAAACTTCTGCACGTCGGCATCAAGCATGTCTGTCTCAAACTTTTTGACTCACAGAAACTTGTAATTTGTACAAAATCGTCGAGTCCCATCAATCTTTTGATTTGGTCTCCAAACATCTCTGAGTTTTGCTCAGATCAAAAGAGAAGACGACTTTGAATCTTGTCTGACACTGATAGTGGGAGAGTTAGAGACTCCTATTTGGTTGAATAAATATCCATCTCCGTTCAGAGGAAACCATTTCCTCTTTGGCTGTCAGAGTCTGCAGAAAAACTGTAATTTGACTTTTATCTGTCCGAGCTGCCGGATCAGGGTTTGTGGTTTTCCTCTGCCTCCATCACCTCGTCAGAAAGAGTGAACATCTAAAGACGAGTCTCTGCTCCTCTATCAGATCCTTTCAGCTCTCCACCTCGGTGTGTCGGTTTCTCGTGCTCTCAGGCCTGACCTCCATCTGCATGTTTGCTCTTAGCGAATGCTCGGATGATAAAACCACATCAGAAAAATCAGAAAATGGAAAAGAGAAGCAGCAGCTCAGGAAACTAAAGAGTTTGGAGCAGACTGTGATATGTTTGGATGATAGGCCGAATTTTTAAAGTTCTGATTTGTTCTTTTCAGAAAACAAAGAGCAGATTGACCCGGTATTTCCACCGCATCCAGAACTGTTCCGATCCCAAATGGCGGCAAATTTCTCTGTAAGCCAATTCCTACCGGATCCGTTTGGGAGGCGGATTTCGTGGCGGATTATGGACGGCAGGAATCGCGAGAACTCACAGGAACCCACGGATTCACGTGCAATCACGCAATAACGAGTTGTCTTTAGCCACAGAGGCTAACCATATTAGCAGTAGATTGTGTCCTTCCAGAGGAGGAAATCTACTTCTAGACTTCTAGAATCAGCATCTCCTCATCCATGGTATCATCGGGGTGTAATGATGTCTAAAAACCTTTCCGCCTGTTTGCATGATGTAAAATACGTTCTTCAACACGTGTTTTCTTTTAAACAGAAGCCAGATGTTTTATTTTGCGTCCGCGCCTGGGTTGATCAGTGCTGAATTTATCCGCCATGCTCCGGCGTCCAGAAAAATAGAACTCTTGCGATCAGCTGTGGAGTCCGGCGATCATCAAGGTTACGATAAGCTACGATCGGAGGATACGGCCCTTTCCTTTTGCGGAATTTGGGGGAATTTTAGGAGTTTTAGCTGCTCAGGAGAGGACTGGACTTGTGGTCTACTGTTAGGATTACATCTCCAGTGCTTGCCTGGATCCAGCTGGTAAAAAGAGGACCTGGTGCCAGTGAAATGTTGTCGGGTTTTCCCTGCAGTCTCAGCGGCCGCGCGGCTGACAGAAAATCCTCGGTTACACACAGGCGCAGCTGTTCCACGGCAAAACAGGGACACGTTTCTGATCTGAGACCCAGCTGGATGTTTGGCAGATCCAAGCGGGGGATCAGACTCGGGAGATTCTCCGGCTCTGGTGCTCACAGCGCGGCAGAGATTATCGGCACGCTTCAGCAGCTGGTGTGACATTTTAGATTTTCAGTCAGAGGAGTTTTCTGAGCTCCAAGGTTTGACTGAAACCAGAAACCAGGAACATGAAGATGGTGTCCTGTTCTCCAGTGAAAACGGTATTTGACCCTGGAAGAGCTGGTTCTGAGTTATCACCACACCTCTGCATGGGAACAGAAAATAAAAGTGTGTCTTTGTGATTATGGGCCTCTGCAGAACAAACGACCTGAATAACTCCTTCATGGTTCACGGTACGATCCAGCGAGGCCGAACACAAACATAGAGAGCTAAAAACGGAAAATCCGAGCCACTAAAGGGGACATCTGGGGCGTTATGATCCCCGAGCTTCAGTCATGCTTCAGCAGGAGGCATAAACGAGTCTGCGGTGAGTCAGCTGAACACCTCGACAGCTGTCTGCCTTCACAGGGAATTACACTTTAGATTCAGCATCAGCTCAGCAGGGACCAGGTCAGACCAGGACGCTCCAGGGTTTAGGTGAGAATCTGTACCTACACCAACATGTCTCCCACGCCCAGACAACAACGGCACAACAGAGAGAGAGAGAGAGAGGGAGAGAGAGAGAGAGGATGTCTTTAGAGAAGGTCGATCTAATTTTGAGTAATATGGGAGTTTATTTTCTCAAAAATCACAGAGTTTATGTCTCATAAATAACTGAGTTTTTTTCTCATAAATCCCTAAATGTAACGTCATAATCCCTGAGTTTATTTCTCAAAGATCACTGAGTTTATGACTGTTCATAACTAAGTTTATTTCTGATAAATCAACAGGCGTATTTCTCATAAATCCCTAATTTAATCTCATAATCCCTGAGTTTATTTCTCATAAATCCCTTAATTTAATCTCATAATCCCTGAGTTTATTTCTCATATATTACTGAGTTCATTCCTCATAATTTACTGAGTGTATTCCCCATAAATTAATAAGTATATTTGTCATAAATTAGCAAATTTATTTCTCATAAATCCCTAATTTAATCTCATAATCCCTGAGTTTATTTCTCATAAATCCCTAATTTAATCTCATAATTCCTAAGTTTATTTCTCATTAATCCCTTAATTTAATCTCATAATCCCTGAGTTTATTTCTCATAAATCCCTAATTTAATCTCATAATCCCTTAGTTTATTTCTCATTAATCCCTTAATTTAATCTCATAATCCCTGAGTTTATTTCTCATTAATCCCTAATTTAATCTCATAATTTGCTGAGTT